ACCAGAACCAGCAACATCCAACCAGAACCAACAACATCCAACCAGAACCAGCAACATCCAACCAGAACCAACAACATTTTGCTGGTTCCGGTCCCAGTTGTGGTTCTCGTTCCGGTCCTGTTTGCCAGTCCGTGTTCTGTGTGAGCAGGTGTGTTCTCACCTGGAGGAGGAGGTGCTGGGCAGCGGCCTCCTCATGGCTCCTGGACTCATGCTGTAGTAGGAGGAGCTGTCCAGGTCGGCCAGGGAGAAGTTGGGTCCGGTTCCGGCCGCGATGGGAGCTGCAGGACAGAACACAGGGAGAGACTGGGTCGGTCAGCAGGATGGACAGAACCGGGTTCCATCCTCAGTCCGAGGTCGCCTCAGTCGTGACCTGAGATTCCTTCATCCTCCTCCTCTTCCTCTATGTGAACTCTGCTGAACAAAGGCAGCAATCAGCTTCAAACCCAGACATCCCTCCATCCCCTGGCCTCCAGCCCCCCCATCCCTCCTCTTCATCACTTTATTGACACTGAGCATGATGGGATGAAAGGAGGAAGAGGAGGAGGAGGAGTGACAGGACCTGCTGGGTAATTTTCTGCTGAGCTCAGCACCGTGAGCTCAGCCCATCTATCTATCACTGAGCCCTGCAGAGATAGCTCTCTCACACACACACACACACACACACACACAGAGAGAGAGAGAGAGCTCTCCTAAGAGAGAAGCAGCAGTGTTCATGTTTCCACATCATCAGTGTTTCACAGCCAGCCTGGACAATCCAACGTCAATAATATTAATAATAATAATAATAATGACAACAGCACAGAGCTGGGAAGTTCATCAGAACCAGAACCCAGAAGTACTTCCAACATTCCTGAACAGCTTCCAAGTTTCTCCTGCTTGTTTCCAGCATTCCCAGTTCAAACTGGGAGCAGATCCCAGAACCTCCCAGACGGGATGATGGAGCAGGAAGTGATCTGGACCGGATCCCTGAGGAACGCCTCCTCCAGGTCCAACCTGGTTCTGGTTCTGTCAGTGGACCTGGTTCATCTCAGAGCTTTTGGACCATGGTTACCATGACGATGGTTATCATGAAGATGCTCTCTGCTGCGGTGGAGCAGCGGGACCATCTGCTGCTGGCACCTGACCAGGTGTGTGTGTTGCCCAGGGCAGCAGAGGGCAGGATGGAGGAGGGGTGGAGGAGGTCCACTCACCTTTTCTCCCAGCCAAATGGGTCACCTGACTGACTGAGTGAAACCTGTCAGTGCCAACGCTGAGCTGCAACCAGCTCAACGTGCACGCCCACAGCAACGTGCACGCCCACAGCAACGTGCACGCCCACAGCAACGTGCACGCCCACAGGAAACCCACTTTTTTCCAGCTTTCTCCGGACTGAGCCTAACCAAGATGTTCCGGTTGGACCCAGACCCTGAGGACGACCCAAGCTGACAGCTGGCCCACATGTTGAGAACCCGGTCAGAACCCACTTCGTTATGAGAGGAGCCAGAACAGATCCGGACAGGTTCTTCAGAACTTCTGGTTCCTCCGTTCTGGAGCGGCTCAACACAACCCAGGGCAGGACCTATAGAAGTGGTTCTGTTGGTCGGTTCTGGAGCAGCTGGACCGGGCCGCTGCTCGCTCTCTGCTGCTTTAATAGGATATTGATCGACAGGGAGAGATTCGATTGGCTGCCAGGGAGTAATGGCTGCACAGCGCCAAGGTCACTGCTGCTGTGTGTGTGTGTGTGTGGGTGTGTTTGTGTGTGTGTGTGTCAGCTGTAGCTACTGCTGGACTCAGTCCAGGTGAGATCCCACCTGGATCTGGGACACGGTTCTGTCAGCTGTCAGAACCAAGAGGAGCAGAAGCAGAGAGGTCTCACTCTGAGCAGGATTTAGGAGCTGAGAGAAGTTTCACTATAGCTGCTCAGCTGAGATGACCCGGTCCACACTGGATCTGTGACCCGACCAGAACCGCAACAAGTGGGTCAAAGCAGCATCAAGCACCTGCAGGTAGTTCTGTGCCGCTCTGGAACTATCCGGGCTTCTCTGGGTCACAAGAGCAGAGAGAGAAGAAGAAGACCTGGTGGCCGACCTCATCACAGAACCGGGTCAGAACTGGGTCAGAGCGACACATGTACCGATTCCCTGGTGACCTGGGGGAACTGAACTGTTCAATGAGCCTGCAAGACAAAACTCAGGGCACAGAGCTCCCAGACGGAGCCGCATGATTGGTCGGAAACCAGCAACACCAGTTCTACCTGCAGGACTGAACTGGTTTAACTGGTGCTGCATTACTCTTCGTCTGATGCCAACACTGCTGTGACCTCACACGCACACACACACACACACACACACACACACACACACACACACACACACACTCAGACAGAACATGCACTCTCCTGTACCCTAATCTATAAGTGATTCTTTCAGAGCTGCATCGCTGCAAATGTGCTGACCCACACAATACACACCCACGCACACACACACACTGACAGGCTTTGTTTTGGTGTGTGTGTGAAAGAGACGATGTGTGTTTCAGCTTCAGGAGCCGCAGCAGAAACATTTAATCTGCATGGAGCTAAAAACCATCCAACATGGATGAAGACGGGGACATGGACGGACAGCAGGACGGACAGCAGGACCTTGACGTCTGATCCAGAAGACGACACGACAACACCAGCAGAGGGAGCTAGAGAGCAGAAAAACTGCTCAGCCATCAGATGGACTGCAGACCAACAGCTGGTTTCCATGACAACTGTCCTACAGCTGTGGTTCATAAAGGAGCGCCTCCAGGCTGTGTGCTTACACCTGTACTTTCCTCCAACCCAGGTGACAGAGGGGGACAGAGATAATAAAATAATTAAAATAATAAAACATGCAACTGGAGCAGGTCTGGTCCTGGTTCTGGTCAAAACTGGGAGTAACAGAATGATCGAGAACTAAGCAACAAAAGATTAACTAAAAATCCATCTGAGTTGGAATAAAATAAAAATATTAACCAACAATAAATAATGGAACAGAATTTATTAAAAATAAAATTAAATAAAAATATTTAGACAGACAAAATAATATAAAACACAAGGAAAACAGAAAAACATAATAAAACAATACAATTAATAAAAGCACAAATTAAATAAAAAATGAAAACAATTTAAAAGTTTAATAATAAAATAATAATTTGCTGAGCCAATCGCAGAGCAGCTGTCACTAACGGACCAATCAGAGAGAAGGAAGAGAAAGAGCTACACTCACTCTGGGAGACTCGGACGAGTTCAGCCACGGTGAAGACTCCAGGTGTGACAAAGCTCTCCTGGAATCCCAGGTGACCTGCAGATGAAGAGGAGGAGGAGGAAGAGTTCACTGATCCTGCTCTTCAGGTGGAACATCACAGGTTTCCATGGAAACATCCAGGATTACTCAGTTATTGTGAATCAGTCCAGTTCAGTCCCATTTATAACAGAGCCAGTGGTATTAGCGCAGCAGTCAGAGGAACCTGAACAGAACCCGGCTCCGTGTCTGGATGTACAGATCCAAACCAGCTGAGTGGATCAGTTATCAGAGCCGAGACTTTATTTTTAAAAAAAATAACAGTAACACTTTATTTGACGGGGTGTGAATAAGACTGAAATGACATAACACCTNGGGCCGGATCCGGCCCACGGGCCGTAGTTTGGGGACCACTGCATTAGAGGAATCGTTTGGTCTCAGAGTTAATTTAATTAGCACGAGGAGCATTATCTCCAAGGCTTGTTCTGCAGCTTGGACCGGTTCTGGTCCCAGATCTTCCCAGTCTGAGGGTCTCAGGGACTGGGCCGGTCTCTGTCTGAACCCATCTGGTCCGTCTGGAACTACACGGGTTCTAGATCCAGAACTGGTTCAGCAGCACGGATGGCTGCAGAACAAAGGTGGGCTGGGCTCCCAACCGGTGGTTCCTGGAGTCGGTGTTGGTCCGTCGTCCTCCACGGAACAATATTTACTCAGGTGAATTACATTAATACGTAGTTCAGTACATCAACAAGTCCAACATGTCGTGGTCCAAATGTTAACATCATCTACAACTTCAGTTTCAGCTCCTTCATAAAAATCCCAAAGTATTAATACAGATCACTAGACGAGGGCCTACGCATCACAACGTTCACAAACCCCCCAAAATCAGGACGCTGTCACTTTAAGACTTCTCTAAAGTCCAGCCCAGCATGGAGGAGACCCTGGAGACTGGAAACCAGTAAGATACCAACAGGAAACTAGCAATATATCAACAGGAAACCAGTAGATGATCCGCTGCGAACCCACTGGGCCAGTTCTGGTGGAGAGAAGAACTTCTGGGTCCACATTAGCGGCTCTGTTCCGCCTCTTAGCAGAACTTTTCCTGAACCTCCGGAAACAGGAGCTGCACATCCGTCCTGAAAATCAGCCCCGCCCACTTTGGGACCGCAACCAAATAGGCGGCGTCACTCACCCCAGTGTTGTCATGGTAACGATGGTGTACCAGAAGGCTGCCGGGATGCTGGTGAACTTGCTGCCGGAGCCCTTCTCGGCGTAGAACAAGACGGTGGCGAAGATGATGATGGCCATGGTGAGGGAGAAGAGCAGGAAGCCCAGCTCCGACGCGCAGCTCTTAAGCGTGTAGCCCAGAATGCGAAGTCCCGCAGAGTGCCGCGAGAACTTGAAGATCCGAAAGACGCGGAAGACCCGCAGGGTGACGAAGGCGCCGCTCACGTCCTCGTTGTCCGTCATGACCAGGCCGATGTAGTAGGGCATGATGGCCACCACGTCGATAACGCTCATCACGCTCTTGACGAACCTGTAGCGGCTGGGCGCCGCCAGGAGGCGCAGCAGGTACTCCACCGTGAAGATCATGACGCACGCCGTGTCCAGGCAGAAGAAGGCCAGCGCGTAGCGCTCCCCGCAGGACAGCACCTTGACGCGGTTCGGCGCGGCGCCGCACGGCACCGTCTCCACCACGTTGGCCATGACGGACACCGCGATGAAGAAGCCGGTGACGTAGTAGAAGACCAGCGCCATGGTGGAGGTGTGCGGGTTCTCGAAGGCGCGCCACATGGTCTCCCGGAAGCTGGCATCCGCGGGCATCAGGTCGCTGCTCTGCTCGCTCTCCTCGTCGTCCTGGATGCGCTCCTGGTTCTCCCGCCGCCGGTCCTTGTAGTCCTCGTAGCAGCAGTCTCCGATTATCTCCGGGACGATGCCGAAGAAGCCCAGCTCCTCCTCATAGGCGGAGATGCACTCCTGGCGCGGGTAGTGCAGCTTTCCGGTGCGGTAGAAGTTCAGGATGTGGCGGAAGATGTCCGGGTCGCGGTCGAAGAAGAACTCGTTGCGTTCCTCATGGAAGAAGAAGTCCCTCTCCGAGCTGCCCAGCAGGGTGTCCGGATAGCGCTCCAGCGTGTCCCGCCACGTCTGGAACTTTGTGCCACTGACGTTCAGCACGATCAGCCCGTCCCGGCCGCGCTGCTTCTCCCGCGGAGGCGCCGGCATGGGCGCGCTGGCCACCGGCATCCAGCCGACGGCCGCGGCGCGGGCGAACGGCATCCAGGCTGCGACTCCCGCAGCCATGCTGGCCTAGAGCTCCCGAGGCTTTGGAGGGTTAGACAGAGGTTCAGACAGCCGCAGGTCAACAAGCGGACATCCGGGAACCAGCGAGCGGAGTTCGGAGCTCCGGGTCAGCCGGAGCGCGAAGCTTTACGCACAAAGTCGGTGCGTAAAGCGCGTAAAGCTGAAAGCGGCGCTCCAGAGATCAGCCGCTCACTTTCTGCCTGTTGAGAGGCGAACACCTTCAGAAGGAAGCAGCAGGTCCAACCCGCTTCCTGTGATCCGGACCGGACCGGACCGGAAGGTCTTCCTGCAACAAGTCTTCCAGCTCTTAGGAGAATCCCGAACCGAACCCGGAGTTGCAGCCTCCCGGTCCGGCTCCGCAGCGGTTCCCTGCGGGGAGAGGAGAAAGTCCGAACAGAACCGAACCTATGCAGATGAAATGGAGGTTCGGCTGGAGGAGAAGAAGCCGCAGCGGCTCGATCTGGTCACACAGGTGCTGCTCACTCCCCCCCCCCCCCCTCCATCCCGGTGGGCGGAGCCAGAGAGTCCCCGTTAATCGGGGGGAGGCGGGAGGGGGAGCCCGCCACGCAGCCCGCGTCACGCGCCGGGAGAAACCTCTGATGTGCTGATTAGTTTAATGATTGGTCCCTGGAGCTGCGCGTTCCTGTGACTCTGGTATGCTCTGTGCACGTGCTGCTCAGTTTCTCCTGAAATGTTTCAGAAACGGCAGCGGTTCTCAACATGAGGTCCGCAGACAGAAGGTCGGACCGCTGCTGCGTTTCCCTTTAGTGAAGGAAACGAGTCTGATGGCCCAGTTCCTCCAGTCCCACCAGTAGACGTGAAGCTTTTCCCTTCAGAAACAGCTGGAATGTCCATCATCACCTCATGGATGCTACCTGATCGGTTTAATTTAAACACGATTTTAAAATCGTCTTTCTGACTCAGTGTTCATCAGTCAGATGTAGCACAGATCGATACCTGTCTGTCAGTGCTACGCGTCTAAAACTGCTACCTAGTGGGGTCAGGAGGGGTGCTGGTGCCTCTCCAGCGAGACATTTTGGGCGAGAGGCGGGTCACCCTGGACAGGTTGCCAGTCTGTCGCAGGACAACACAGAGACAGACAGGACACACAACCATACACACCTAGGGAGGATTTAGACAGTGACTGTGGGAGGAAGCCAGAGAGAACCCACCATGCACTGGGAGAACATGCAAACTCCATGCAGAAAGACCCGGGCCGGGAATCGAACCCAGAACCTTCTTGCTGCAAGGCAACAGCCCTACAAACTGCACCACTGTGCAGCCTGAATATCTGAATATCCTACCCATTTAAAATGAAACGCTATAGATGTATGCACTAATCCTTTTATCAGAATATCCTACCTTTGTAAAATATGTTAAATACAGAGGTGTAAGAATAAAACGGTATCAGATAGGGGAAACAGGATTTATTGGAATCAAATTAAACACAGACAGATACAGATCACTGCAACTCCTTCATGTGCATTAATCTGTTTCATAGCGTCTGTTATCAGCAGCAGCCACAATGTGTGACAGGATATGCTTAATATACACTAATATTACACGGATATTACAGCTTCAATCTCACATAGCATTGCAACATGCTCTGTTTAACAAGGTTTATAAAAAAGAGTCAAATCTGAAATATTTTAACGCATAGGGATAAAATAGGCCACAAAGCAACATATTTTGTCCTGATTAACCACCAAACAATGACCTGTTTACAGTAGTAATGACACTGCAGACAGAAAACTAAAGCCATAAATATATTTACAAGCTGCTGTCATGTAAACTAAAAACATGAAGTCATACAGCAGCTTAATGAAGCCAGATATAAAATAAATGAAATTAAGCTTACCGTAATCTTCGACGAACTAAAACAGACGAAATGAAACTTCCTCAGGTAGGATAAGAAATGTGCTGAGTCAGCAGAATGTGGCGTAGCATCGATGAGCGCATCACCACAAGGTAGGATGGATTGATGGGTAGCACAGATGGTTAGATCACCTGTTCTAACCGGCGCCTTCCTCACTCTTATCTCTGTGTGTTTCTGCAGTTTGACCCAAAGCTGACTGACTGCAGAGGCTCCATTAGGCGCCACAGCAGGAGGAAGGCACCAGTCAGACCTGTTAGCCCAACTAGGCCTGTTTCCTGGTTCATACAGAACAAACTGAACCTCCTGACAATAATCTGATGTTCTGACAGTCACAAAGAAATCAAATATGTTTACAGATCTATGCCTGTTTTCTTAAATAAAATGTTATATTAATGCCATGTTGTCATTTTTTAAGTTTGTCTACTCACATTTCTGGAAATATGTTAATGTAAGATAATTAAATAGCCAACGTCTGCCAACACCAGTGAAAAAACTTAATAGTCTGTTAGATGGAGACCTGTCAGAGCAAAACATGTACATGAATCAATATTGATTCGTAACCTTGATTCAATATAAAATAAAATATGAATGTAGATCCACATCCAGGTGATGGTGGAATCGACGTAGATGACAGAGACAGTTCTGGTGGAAACACTGATTCAGTCACCGACTGTTTCAACGTTTATTTTCTGTCTCCCAGAAGAACCTCCTGGTCCGTTTGGTTCATGAACCGCCTGATAGACAAATCTGCTCCGATATTTAGCAGAACCCAACGGGTCAGTACCGCCTCTGAGCAGAACCGGGTCGACAGTACATCTGTAGCTCGGTTCTATTTCTAGACTCTCTGATCTGTTTTTAGCTGCAGTGGCTTTCAGGATATTTTAGGAGTTTGGACCAAAATAGATCAGAACCAGAACCGTCGGGCGGTTCTGGCCTCAGGTCCAAGTTTTAGTGTCAGGAGGCCAAATGAACCGACCCTTGATCTTTGACCACTGACCCTCTGTGAATGACGGCTGAGGCTTCACAGCTAAAGGTGAACCACCTCTGACCTCTGACAGCACAGAGGTTACAGAAGTACCAGCAGTAATGCGGTCAGACCCGGACGGTTCTGGTTCTGTGGACTTCTCGCCGACCCAGACCGGCAAGGAACCAGACTGAGCGACTTCATTAACGTCTCAGTGTGACATCACACACTCCCATGATCCTCTGCTGTCACTGACAGATGGAGGTGATCAGGATCGTCCCGGGAGACACTGCCTCCATCACACACACACACACACACACACACACACACACACACACACTGGCACACACGCACACACACGTTTGTGTTGCTATCTTTGTGGGGACTTTCCATTGACTTCCATTCATTTCTACAGCCTAACCCTAACCCTTTACCCTTTTCCTAACCAACCAAAACTCAGTTCATACCTTAGCCCTAACTCTGACCCCTGACCCAAAAACAGGATGTCCCCTCGTGGGGACCAGGCTCCGGTCCCCACAAGGAGCATTTGGTCCCCACAACGTAGTATATGTCAGGAAAATCGT